ACCTCATCTCATCTTTCTCCACGTTTCCTAAACATTCAAAGTAACCTTTATGCAATAGTCTAATTTTATATTTCAATAGAAATCCTTTACAGATAATTCAAATAATGTCCATATCTGTTTTGTGGGGTTTTCTGTCATCTTCGATCGTAAAAATGTTTTTTTTGTCGGTTTCCTGTACAAAACTGCGCTATTGTCTCGTTTGATTCCCAAAAATAATCCTCATAATCCGAAAGAGTAGCTGAGCTTTAGCCATTGCTCAAGCTTAGAGCAATCTATCGATTTTACATTTACTAAGTGTTGTTTATTTCGCATTGCGTTGCTTGGATCCAGCTTGACTCGAGCAGGTAAGAGTTAGTCAAGAAATCTTTGTATACTCTTACCTCCGAGTAATCTCTGACTGTCTCTGTGCCATTAAAAATCCCTCACCGGTTGAAATTCGGATCACTTCCGGCCACGTAGAAGCCGTTGGCAACAAAATTTCGAACAGTGCATAAAATAAGGAATAAGCAATCATATACTAAGAATATATTCATTCTCTAGTTCTAACTGCCTTTTAGATTTACGAACCCTTATTGACTCACGTAGTATCTTTGAACATCGATTGCCTATTTCATCATGCGTTATCAATTAGTTTTCCTGTCAGTCGTTTTACATTTGCTAGCTTTAGGTAGCCCTAAAAATGCTACAAATCCCTGCGCTGCTGCTATTGATTTTCTCTACCTCCGTTTTTGTATATACGAGTACTCTGGCCTTTCTACTCTCCCACTGAAGAAGCATTGCATCCCAAATTGAACTGTGGTATGTGTTTAAATCATTATATTCCCCAGAGCATTTTGCCAGAATTCAATTTTCTTCTTTTCCTTCGTTTCGCTTATTTTTAAAACTCGTTCGACTCTGTTTACTTTTGGATTTTCACAAAAATTTGTTATATAATCAATGAGTTTGTAAAAGTATTTACGTTGTTTGCGCTTCGTTCATTTCGGGATTTTACAGCAAATTATGTGTCTGCACTGTAGCTAGACCCCAGACAAGTGGAAATTTGTTGGTGTACTTAGCACACGTATGAATATAAGAATCGACGTGACTATTTACCGATTGAGTTCAGGCCTGTAGGAAAGTGTGAACTGCTCGGAAGCAATGGTAGTGCAGAGTTGTTTGAATTTGACTCAAATTGATGCCATTTCAGAAAAGCTGTGACGTTGCAGACGCCGTTGAAAGACGCCTTGTTTCGCCTCGGTCCTGATTTGGTCTGTATCTATATTTCCCTAGAAAGCAATTATAACCGTTAAATACTCCAAATCAATCCTGAACTTCTGGTTTTCCTACAGGGTATGTACTCATGTGCTCATTGAAGCATTGAACTCGTTGGCTCTTTGTCACTGGGATTTATTAGTATTATTGACTCACTGTGTTGCAATATTGACGTTTTTATAATTGTTGCTGCTGTTGTTGTTTTAATATTTTCGGTAACTCTTGTATTTTATGTATTTCTTTATGCCGTACATTTGGTGTTTTATTTTTACCACCACCATTATTGTCGCTTAGACACATAACATATCTGTATGTGGGTTCGTATCGCTGTTACCCGCTTCGTATAAGCTTTGTGTGAAAATTGACAGGTTGTGTCAACTTTACGCTTTGTCGAGTACGTGTTAATTTTTTGACATTGTCAAAAAGTGTTTACGTACATTTTAATGATGATACTTAAGTTGTATTAGTGTGCGCACACTGATTAGGTTCCCACTTTCATATACCTACTTGTACGATAATATAGAAAAATATTAACATAAGTACTGCGAATGTTTCAGAAAATTCCACCAGGTACCTACACTTACCGAAAATGGAATTAGTTGTTTCTGAAATTTTTAGGCGGTTCAAAATCCGTTTTGAGTTAAAATTCCTAAAACAAGTGTTAAATAACATTGATCTTTTTAAGTCCATATAAACCCTATTCTTCGTGAGCTGTCTAACGACAAAATTTTATCTACAAGTAGAGATATGTGTTTTTATCAAGAGAAGGGCTTACTTACTTACAAATTTGTTATTTTTCGCTGAAAAACGCAATCCTTGCAGCTTAAACACAGGAAAAAGTTGTGCTCGTGAACTGAAGACAAAGCATAATATATCCATTTTAGTCCCACTAAACTAGAGGCAGATTGAATTGTATTTCAAATACGTGCATTGGATCTTCTCACCAGTCTTAAGCCACCATTATCATGCATTTTAGCAAACACCTAAACGGCGTCTAGTATAAACTTTTTAAGGGAATCAACTCCATTTAACTACGTAAAACTTGAGCAAATCATCTGAATTGTTGGTAGTTGAACTCTAGTCTCACTTGAGTCTACTAAATAGGCGTTCTAACCTGTAAAATAGTAAAGTATTTTGTCTTCAAGCGTTCATTGAAGGTGGAGCTTCTCTGACGAACCTCTTAGCACTATAACCAGGGTTCCCAAACGTAAACATTTTCTCATCAAACCAATTGATTTATAGGTTGAACATCCAAACCGAATATATCTGTCTTTTAGAACCAGTTTTTTTACAAAAGAAAAAAGTGTGTAAGTTTCGTCGCGTTACTTTATTTGAAGTGAATTCGACAGTAGAATATATTAGGACGTGACAGTCAACTGTTGTAAAATTTAAATTATTGCAAAATTCTGACATCCGCAGAAAAATTTTAATTTACGTATCTTCTAGCTTTTAGAACTCCGCTCGAAGAGCCGGCTTTTCTAACAGAGTTGACATAATGTTGTACCTTTCAGAAAGGGTTACAGTGTTCCAGCGATTGTTTCTCTCATAGATATTT